GTAAATAGATAGATATATTGATGAAAAGAAATGATAGATAGATATATGGGTATACAGATAGATAGATAGATAGATAGATAGATAGATAGATGGACAGATGGGTATACATAGATAGACACAGGTAGATATGTGATTGTAGATATGGGAGTTTCCGAAAATAGGGGTACCTTATTTTGGGGGTCCTTATAATAAGGGTCCTACTATTTAGGGTACTACATTACGGTCCCCTATTATTGGAAACTCCCATATGCTTGTATGCATAGTTTCCTCCTCGGCCGACTCCACAGGCCGTGGCCGAAGCCCTCCTCGAGCACCTGGGAAAGACGCGCCATGCCTTCTATGGTTTGCAGGGTTTAGGGCTTAGGGTCCCTTTAGTGTCTAGGCCTTTGGGTTTAGGGTCCCTTTTTAGGGTCCAGGGTTTTGGGTTTTGGGTCCCTTTGGGGTCTGGGGTTTTGGGTTTAGGCGGTTTAGGGTTCCTTTTAGGGTTCAGGGTTGAGGGTTTGTTTTAGGGGTCTTAGGACTTATCGGAGTTTAGGGTTTAATGCTTTAGGGTTCAGGTTTAGGGTGTTTGGGGTGATGGTGATGGTTTATGATTTCTCGGGGCCGTGTGTCTTTTGTGGATCCTTCGGTGCAGTCTCCGTAGCGCCTGCCCCGCCCCCGTCAGGTTCCGGGCAATCTCCCGAGACCGTGCGGCCTTAGCGATGCGATTTTTGAGGTGCTTGCCGTTGGGCTCGTTTCTGGGTCTTTGCATGGTAAAATCCTGAAAGCTTGCAGGACGGAAGTGGACGATGCGATGGGAGCAAAAGATGCTTTGCTTCAACTTTTCTGCTTCTGCCATGCAGCGGCCAAACCGAAACTTCGCCTACTCCTGCTTGTTATTGTCCTTGAAGACTGAGGCCCGTTATACCTGAGCATCAACAGCAACTTTGTGCTTCCAACTGCTGACGACTTAGCCGGCTTCGCCAGCGCGCCACTTGGCAGATCTGCGCATCGCTGCACTTAACTTCACTTGCAGTGGTTGCCACTCGCTGTCTCTCCCTCTCTACGCTGCTCTTCGGTCGCGCTGCCGCCTTAGGAGAAGCCCTGGACGGCGACATTCCTGGGTCTCAAACGGACAGTTCGCCCAGGCTAGTTCTCATGCAAAGTGGATGCTCCACAGCTCCTGGCCGCTCCTGGCCTAACCAGCCTTGTCGTCCGCTGGTTGCAGGCAACCCTGGCCTGCCTGGACTCCGATCGGGAGGGGCCTTTTTCCAGCGGCGATGGCGAGTCCAGCTTTGGTCTCCCGGCCGCTGGGCGGCAGAGTCTGGAAAGAACAGAGCCAAGAAGAAGCCCTCATTTCAAGAAGCCTTGGAAGCGAGGCCGTGGTCTCACCTCGGAGCTCTTTGGGCCCGGGTGCTCGGACCCGGGCGCAGAGCCCGAACCCCCGTGGCTCGCGGCACGGCTCGGAGACCCTCTCGGAGATCGAGCCGCGCATGGCGCGGCGCGGATCCTCCGAGCCAAGGCCGGAGCCGAGAGAGACGAGCGCCGAAGCCCCAAAATTCCGTCTTCGCAGGCCGGGAGAGCCGCCAGATGGTGCCCGGGTGACAAGTTCAGCCACATTCCGTACAGCCATCTGCGGCCTCTATGACTCTATGCCATAGGATGAATAGCACACACTGCAGACCTTCTGCGGACGACGGAACCGAAGCACTGCTGCGCTTCTTGGTAGGGTCGTTTTCCAAGGTTGTCAAGCTCGGGTACACGATGTTTGCACGGCGGCCGCTGCTGCCACCGTGGCTGCCAAGTCTGTTGCTGCAGCCGTTGAGAGGACGGACTACGACAACAAATGGCAATTTGCAACTCGCTTGCAAGGTCAGGTGTTTGTGTGTTCGCGATCCTGTGCGCAACAGCGAAGACGCTCGGTGGTTACCGAGGCAGAGCCCAGTTTCTTTTCCTGGCTTTGTGATGAGCTGAACAGTCGTCCCGATGAGGCACTTGCGTGAGCTGATGATAAGCAGTTCTCGGCTACTCTGATTCTGACTCTGAGCCTTAGCTTTGCTAATGCAATAGTAAAACAAGTAGCAATAATAATAATGATCATAATCACAATCATAAGAAGAAGAATGGTAGTAATCATAATACTACTGATAGTAGTAATCATGATACTAATAATAATAATCATAAGAACAAGAACAATGATACTACTACTCCTACTACTACTACTACTACTACTACTACTACTACTACGAGGACGACTACTAC